TTTATAGAATGTTATAAAAATATTTTATAAGAGTAATAATAAAAAAATAGAATTATATATTATTAATATTGTAAAATAACAACTTAAAAAAATGACGCTGCTAACAATACTTATTTTACCTACAATTACAGTCACAAATATCAAACACTTTTCCAGTACGATTGATTATATTGAAATTAAAAATATGGACCCAATTAGTCCCCAGAAAACAATCGAATCTTGGAACCTAGAGTTCTCGTCTCGAAGACGTTCGCGACGCTCTGGTGAAGACGCGATCGCGAGAGAATACCTCCAAGAGCCGATGCTTTGAACGTTTTCCACTCACGGCGCCCACACGAGCAGAACGGGTACGGCGCGACAAATCGATGACTCACGTCTCGACTACGGCGGTCCCGACATGACATGCGATGGATAATATTTGTTGTTTCCAAGGGACGAGGAACGCGCGCGGTCGACGAGGAGGATTAGCTCCGATCGAACGTGACTCGTTTTTAAAGAAACGAAATCTACGTAATCGCAGATACATGATTTTTGCCTCACGCGACGTTTTCTCACGTAGACTACTGGTCGCGCTCGCTGACTCGCTTTTGCAATTATGCAAGAGAGACGGGTAGTCCGGAGTGGAATTTGCGCGCGTCGACCTGCGTGTTCGCACGTCTGTTTTCATTTATACTTTTGCGAAAGCGCGCGACACGCGCAGCCTCATCGATTCGTCAGAATGTCTCAAGACCGACCTCGAAAAACAGCTCGCGGTAATTCCGGCGTTGATCGCACCTGCGCGTCCTTGGCAAGACAATCGCCGCGGCCTTGACATCGAAGGCGCCCGCGTATCGCGAGGGCGACACTTTCAAGGGGCACTATCTCGAACGATTGACGTTTCCAGCACAGCTTGTCGAAAATGTATTGATTAACATCGCGAAGCGCGTCGTCGTTAATAAATACCGATCTTCCCGCGCGGACGTAGACTGGAAAAGAGTTTAATAATAGTTTACCGAATGTTTAGTGAAACAACGTCAATTAACTCATTTAATTAATACAACTACAACATTATTTTGCTTTCTTCAATACTTTTTTCGTTACCGTATTTGTAATACTATAAATTAGGAAAGAAATGAAGAAAGTGAAATAATTATAAACGATATCAAACACATCATCTTTTAAGATCGTATAATGTAAATATACGACAAATTAGAAATTAAGGTCGACTGAGAGAGTCTGGATCCTTAGAGCTGAATAATAATATTGACTTAATTTTAATTATCATCGAATTTTGAATATTCATAGAATCTTTAATCGACATTATTTCACTAAGCATCCGGTAGCTATCGGCAAATTCATTTTTCTATAATAGATCTGCGGAACGGAGAACAAAGGTTCGAGATTTACCCTGGAGCATGTTCTGGTCGGCGTCCTCGTCCGCGTGGTAGCGGACGCCGCCGATCGAGGAGGACAGGAGGCTCATTTTCGCGACGATGTCCAGCGGTGCCGTGCGCACGTCCTCGATAGAGCCGAGCGGCACCGAGCGGGTCCGGGTCCAGGTCCGCGAACCGGCACGGTGGGTGGACGAGGGCGAGGACGAGGACGAGGGGCCGCCTGGCCCGTGCGCTCTCGATGCGCGCTCGGTGCGCTCGATGCGCTCGATGCGCTCGCGGAGCTATTGGCGCGCGCTCGACGCACGGCCGCGAGCGAGCCAATCGACGTGCGGGAACCTCGGGGACTCGCGGGCCTCACGGACCTCGGAGAGCTCGCGAAAAGCTGCCGGCCATGGGCTGCCGACTCCGGAACGTCACTTTCTCCCGACGACGGCGGTGGCGGCGGTGGTTACTCCCGATGCCACCTGCGACGGCGCGTCCGCCGTCTCCTCAGGATCGCCCCGATCGTCCCCCCGTGTTGTTGCTTCCGGACCAGGCGGCCCACGGATTCGAGGAAACCAACCACGCGGTTTTGGTTTTGCCAACTATTTCGATACCAAGCGAAGACGGACGAATTTGACAGGCTCGCGACGCGGCCACTTCGACGTTGTCACTCCAGCTTGACTGGCACCGCTGGCACTGCCCCGCCAGGCCGAGTCGCGTCCAGGCGTATAGCGACTCTCACGTCTGCGCCGCCGTTTGCCGTGAAACACGGCGGCGCATGACGCGCGATCAATAACAGTCGCCGCCGCCGCCGCCGCTGCCGCCGTCGCTGCCGGCGACTGCGCTATATCGCGTCATTATCGCTACGCTGATCGGTTGATGTATGGTGGAAGAGCCGGACGGAAGAAACCGAGCTCCCGCGACCGCCGATCACCACAGTAGCCGGTTACCTTCGCCTTCAAATATTTACCTAGACGATATAAAGTCGAAAATCGTGACGTGTATTACCCCGAGTCGAAATTTCGCTTCTACCTTGAGTCTTAAGAAGTTTTAGGACGTATGTAGACTGTAAAGATTTATAATTAGGACGTATGTAGATTCCAGAGGTTTATAATAAGTTCTAATCTAATGAATTGAACTCCTACGTTGAGCGCCTGTAAATAGCAGTTATCTGAAAATTTCCTTAGTTTTAGATTTAAAAGAAAGTTTTCTAAATAGAAGCTGTAAATTAAGTAGTATTAAACAAGATTTTATTTAAATTGTTGTGAAGTATCAAAATATAGGTTTATAAGGTTTAATTGAGGTTGGAAAAGTAGGATTAGAGTTTCGACTCTCGGGAAGACTCAATCACGAGTCTTAGTGAAGGGGTAACCGCTGGCCAAAATTATGTACACCAATACCTACTAATGCCCAAGTAATGCCCAACTAATTCAACTATATTTATGCCTACTAAACTCCTATCTATATAGTAATATCCATTAATGTCCTAATAACGCTCTATATACAATGCCCAGTCAATACATATCTTTATCCGCTTATTATAATACGCAATTCTCTTAAATAATGCCCAACAATGTCCCAAATCTGCAATGTCCACATCGCAATGTCCTTAGCGGTTTATCCCTTGGTTTTGTGTACACGATACCTGTTAGAAATCGCTCCAAGATTTCGAAGAAAGAATACAAATCACATTTGAACATTTCGGTCGATTGACTAACATATTTAATTAATTCCTTCTTTTCGTTCGAGTCTCAAGATGATTTTTAGAACTGTGGATACAAGGCTTGAAAAATATCTTCAAAGCGAGACGTTTACATATTTTAGAAAATATAGGTGTGAATTTAACATCACGAAAAGTGGATCCTCCTCATCGTGGCGTTGGTGTTGATATTAATTAAACATCAGGGGATTTAAATTCACACCATGTTGATGTTAGCTCTTATCGTTACTACACACGATAAGATTAGTCTCTGTGAGTAGCTCGACCGAGGCGAACGTGTTCTTGCTTCGGTCTGAGTAGTCTTAAATTTTTCCAAGTTTCTGCCGAGTTTAACTTTTAATGCATTTAAGTAGGTATATAAAAGTGGATAGGATAAAATAATAATAACGGAAAATGAGAAACCTACTGGATCACCTTAAATTTTAGATACTTTGTGCCAAAAGATCAAAGGAAGAACTGAAGGGGTCTTAGAAGGAAATAATCATAATGAATTAAAGAAATGTACACGATGATTTTCCGGACCTTCATTACATACGATGGGTCGTTCATGACTTGAATTAATTTTCATTACTTTTACAAGTATACAAAAATGTATATGTATTAAGTGATTCTTACATGTTACTTTAACATCTTTAGAAAGTATTTGTTAAGTTGTGTTCGTTATTTTGAAAAATTGTGCATAAATGTTTTCAAACTAATTACAGGTATTAAATAGGGTTAAAAATTGCAGGTATATAAATGTTAAATTAATTACAGATACCTAGTATTTCGAAGAAAAGAAATACGCGGGACAAGTATAACCCAATCGTGCGTAAAAGTTAACATTAGCGTCACGCGATAAGAATTATATATTATATGTAGATACTGCATGATTTAAATCCACGTACGTTGAAAAAAAGAATATCTTGAAACCAAAAATCGGATATGTGTTGGATAGAACTCACTGAATAAATAAACTTGTTAAGTAAAATTTTTTTATATCAAGATATTTTTTTTCTCTCAGCCATATCTTTTAGAGCGTAAAAGACGTCTTACATCTTGATTTTAGATCTTACGTTATCTGAGTAGCTAAGGGTATATTTGCCAGTAACTTAAGACTCTCTAATAATGCACAAATTCCAAAGAAGCATGTAGGCTATTCGTATAAAGCATTTACCTCTCTCCCGTGAAGGATTTCGCGCGGCGAAATCGCGGCAATGGAAGAACGTCCGGAACGAGGGAAAAATGTAAATGGACGTTACGCACGCCGCGGTTTGTTTATTATTTCATCGTTGGCGTAATTATAACCGGCGACGGCGTAAATTCGGCGTCAATACGCGTCACGCGCAAGTTTTGTCGACGCTGCCAAATTATTTGTTCCGTAACACTTTAAACTGACTACTCGCGTAACGCGTAGAGAAATATGATCGGATATCAGAGAAAGTCCTGGTTATCATTACTGTACACGACGCTTCGCGGGACACGCAATAAACGCCGTACGTCGGCACGCGTTGTGTGATTTATGCAGGTCTCCGTTCCTTCGCTCTCTCACGCTGTTGTAGCTAATGTTGTGTTGCGTAATAACAGATCGCTGCTACTAGTATTACGACTGCGGTGTAAAATAACGAGAGTCTGAAATCTAGCTTTGAAGATTCTCCGTTGCTTTTTAATATTGTACATTATGATCTTTCCCGATTAAATCTCTTTACGCCGAAAACAATATTAAATATTAATAAATTTATACTTCCAAGTAAATATTTATTCAATACAAAACGTAGATTTATTTGAATGAAAACCAGAAAAAATTATTAATTTAATTTAATTTTCATTGTTTTATTGAGTAAATGTGTATTGAGTGTATTAAATTTTTTCTTCTTCAGTGTATATATTGTAATCTTTTTCTATTAAATGTACATTATTACGTCTTTTTATATGATATCAGTTTTATATTTATCTTACAGCGAATTCGATTAGACGCATTATTGCGCACTGGTGTACGTAAAAGCTGTTGTACGTTGATTTAATCTGACGGGAAAAGTGAAATGCAAATATTTCAAATTATATAATACATATTTCATCCAACGGAATAATAGAGTGTATTGAAAATTTCACAATTTAATCGATTTCTATATTTATATCAAACACATATCTTTACGTCAATTTGTTTACGGCGGTGTTTTAATGTGCACCACGCAAGTGCGCACTGAGTGCGTTCAATCAAATTCCTTATCATAATCTATTATATTTTTCCCATATTGGAAAGTCTAGTTGCATTAATTGAAAGTCTGGTAGATTCAAGCAGAAAGATATATACATATACATATATATACAAATCAGACATTTATAGACTATAAATGTATCAAATATTCTATTCGAGATAATCAGAAATTCAATTATGATAACCACAATTCCGATCTATATATCAATATGATCAGAAAGATATCAGGTATGATCAGCGCATTCATTCTATTTATACTATACTTCTTATTGATACAGTCAGAACATTTTTCTCTGTACTTGTGTAACGTGTTATTACTTTTAGATTTAAATCCAGTGCGAGGCGAGGAGTTAGGGAGTTTCCGATACCGAGGCGTGTGAGGGAATGACTTAACAAATCGACAGTTTTCATCGTGGACTTCGACAGCCGTTCGCGTTTCTAGTCTGGTGGCATTCATTACGCACTGACATCAGCGCGTTGCATTCTACGTGTGCGTTCATGCATACGCGAGCATATCCGTCTCAGGTAGTACTCAGGAATAATTCATCTATCCCGTTATATATACCGAACGGGATTAACATCTTAGTGCACGCCGGACGCCTTTAATCTAATTCTGACACGTCGCCCTTTTTTACGATTTCATTACGATTTCGCGATAGTCATTGGGATACTTTCCATCCACTTTTTAATAATATCAGTCGACGTAAGTGTTGTGTTTCTGTCTTTTAGGTCAAATTCGGTTGGATCCGTATTGAGAAAAGTTTACTAAATCTTAATACATATTTCTTTGAATAATACTAACGATACTTATTAAGTAAACGCTTACTGAACAAAAAGATGACAGTTAAGTCGTATTAATAGTCTTTATATCGAATAAATATATTTTTTATATATTTAGTAAATATTTACTTTTACCGTTTACAACAAATATTTATTAATAAAATTTACAATTTTTCAACGCATCGAAGCTGTCGTATACTTACATTGAGTGTACATGCAAGTTAAAATGCAGATATTTCAAATTATATAATATTATATTTGCTTCCATTTTCTGACTATTTGAGCCGAAGTTACTCTAATCTGTGGGACAATATTTCAGCTAGTGGTTCCCCTCCTAGATTGTTATTCTCTCGAACATCAAGAAAGGAGATTTGTGCCGATCTGTGCCATTAAATGGAAAGCATCTATAAAGATTCGTTTGTGATATATCTTTTGAAAGTGCGCGTCAACACCTGATAAACGGACATGCGTGACTTCCGTACGGGACGACGAAAAATTGACTTTCCAACCCGATAAGAGCCGTCAGGTCGTAAGCGGCGCATAGATAATTTTACGCGTTTAACGGTATATGGTCGCGCAAGGCCCACTTAGTAATTCATTTAATAAGATAACCCGCGTGTTATCGCAGGCTATATCTGATGATTAACCGCGTGGCATGCGAATAACTAGCGGTTGTCATCTCGTGCGCGCGACGCGCGTTCGAAAAACCTGTCGTGGATCCATTAACGCGAAGGACTTCGATTCGCGCTAGGCGGATGGTAATTAATTGTTCCTCCATATGAAAACCGGCTCCCGCCGGGGACCGATGCGTGGTGTGTCAAAGTAACGTAATGTATATTTATATCTCCGTCGTGAAAAATCGCCTATCTGTCTTCTCACCC